TTTAAGGTTTAGGATTCAGGGTCTAGGGTTTAGGGCGTTGAGCGAGCGCCACGAAACGCAGGTTGAAGTGAACTGACTCATATCTGAGCCCAAAACATTGCAGGTTTCCCGGACAGGGTCAGCGGGTACAGGCCGCAGCTGCAGCAGCCAGCTCCGCTTCGCAAGAAGCAGAACTTGGAGGTGGGCGACACACCTGTGTCACCCAGGTTCGAAGTAAGCATTGGCGAAACCGCTAAGTGCATCATGCGAGGGCACAGGGTCAATACTTACTGAGATGCAGGTGCGACTCGATTTGGGCCTGCAGCTGGTGCTCACCCAGGGTGAGGACGAGGTTGATTTGTCGGACAGACTTTCGTCCTCTTCGCCGCGCTTCTGGCGCAAGCCGCCATGGGCTTTTGCAGTTCCATGCCGATGGATCCGTGGATACTTAGCCTCGAGCATTGAGCCTATATACCTTGAACTCTAAGCCCCGAAGCTAAACCTCAAACCCCAAGCGCTAAGCCTCGCCACAAACCTCAAACCTGAAATAGACCCAAAGCCCTAAGCCCCAAACCCCAAACACAAAACCCAAAACCCTAAGCCTTAGACCTTGAATGAACATTACACCTTCAATCGTAAAAACCGATCCATGAGCCCAAAAACCCTAAGCCCGAAACTCCAAATTTAGTTTGGGGTTTAGGGCTTGGGGTTTGGGGTTCGGGGTTTGGGGTTTAGGGCTTGGAGTTAGGGTTTGGGGCTTAGGGTTGAAGGTTTGGGGTTTGGGGCGTGAGGGCTAGGGTTTCGGATTTGGAGTTTAGGGTTGGGGGTTTAGGGTTGGGGCCTAGGGTACCCTAAAACCAGGTGGATGAGTGATGAGTGCGTCCAGCGTTATGACAGCCTGCCGCAAGACCCGTCCTCGCACTTTGAGATCCCTTCATCCGTCATGGCGACGGCAGTTGTAGGGACGCAATCATTCTACGACATATTTTTCCTCAGTGATGCGCAGATTGTGAAGTACACTGGAGCAAACATCCAGCAGTTGAACATCCCACTATGCCGCCGCGTGGATGAGCAGGGTGGCGTGATTGAGGGCACCTATGTCTCGATGGCTGACCTTCCCGATATGAGCTTCGGCGAGTTCTTCTCTCTGCGGCGCAGTCGCATTTTCTCAACAAATGCCTCAAGTCCTAAACTTGCAAGTGGCAAGTGGCCCAAGCTACGTTGGAGGCTCCAAGACTTAGCAACTACTATACCCAGATGTATTAGCCAAGATATAAGTAGTTACTAAGTCCCTGGAACCCGAACACTTGTATATCTTTCTAAACCCCTTTAAGGGACCCGCTACAAGTACTTGCTAACTCTCATGAACTTCCAAATACACCCTCAGCCCTAAAACCCCATAGAAAGCTGTATACACCTTATAGCCTAAACTCCTTCACCTCGGCCTGGAGCTTCCCAGCAGTCTGTCACAGGTTCCCCTACTACCCTCCCTACACGGGCCCCCCATAAACTGACTGAAGCGGCAACCTAGGGGGGTGGTAGTATAGAGAGGGGGATAGTAGGGGAACCCTAACCCCTAAACCCTAAACTGCGAACCCCAAACCCGAAACCCCTAAAACCCTAGAACCCTAAAACCCTAAAACCCTAAAGCCCTAAAGCCCTAAAACCCTAAAACCCTAAAACCCTAAAGCCCCAGAACCCTAAAACCCTAAACCGCGTAGAAGAACCCATGAGTCTGGCAAGCTGAACCCTAAACCCTAAACCCCTATAACCCTAAACCCCTGAAACCCTAAACCCTAAAACCCTAAATCCTAAAGCTTGCCAAGGCACGATGATCCGGAAGTTGAGCCGCTGCAATTCCTGGACCGTCCTGATTCTAAAGATGGCAAAGCAGAGTAT